CTCCCTTTTATACCCTGTGGTGTGTGGTCCAGTGACTCAGCCTAATCTCTGGCACGCCTTCTCTTTTGTTGCGTGCGCTTATCTCTCCGACGCTGGCGTGGATCCAGCCAAGACTCATCCCCGTCACTGTCCAACTGCGCCTGCGCGGGGATACCTGGCTCCTGGCCAATCTCTTCTCCGTCAGGAGACACTTGAGGCATTGCCAGAGAGGAGGGTCCTGGAGAGGGAGGCCCGGCCAACTCCTCTCCTTCCCTTTCGGAGCCTTCTTCCTCCGATAAGACAGGCTCGGGGGTCGGAGCCACAACAATTTATTTTATTCATTTGCAATATTTATAAGTGCCCGGTAACAAATTCTCATTCTGTCTCCCTCCCTCCCTCCCTCCCTCCCTTCCTCTCTCTTAAAAGGAAAATTAGTTTTTTGATTTTTTTGGAACTCTCTCTAAATGAGTTCTGCAAACAAAACAAATTTGAAAAAGCTTAATATCTAAATATTTGTACATCTTCATCTGAGACTATAACTGGTGAAAAATTAAATTCCTAAGTAGCTATTGAATTTAAGTGCACTTAATTGGAAATGACATTGAAATGGCATTTCAAACTCATACTCAATATGTGTTTTGCTTTCAAGCACTTATGCATAGTCCAAAATACAGTAAATCATGCAGAATGTCTGCCACAATTCTATTTAAGCCAAGTGAAACATAACATGACATAGCACATACATCATTTCTTGATTAAATTTGATGAACTTCAAGTCATTACCAGTAAATTGGAAATGCTACTTGGTTAATGTAACCCAAATAGACAGCTTTCGTGAGTCATAGGATTTATGGCTGCTAGTAGTTGACACTGATAATGAAATGCCATATTTTCCTGTCCCTTGGAAATAAAATATAATGCCCTGCTACTTAGGTATCCTTTGCATAGGACTGTTAGTTCTGTATTTGTTTCTTTTATGAAAGTTTATTTGAAAAATAAATGAATTGAGTCACACTGGTAACAGGAGAGTGCCTCTATATTTTTGAATTTAAACTTTTTAGAGCATGTTTAAAAAAAGTTCTGAACAGTTTAGATAACCAAATTAAAACATTTATGATCAAGTTAAATCTGTTAATTTCTTATAAACTTGTTAAAGAAGGCAATATTATATTACTTAGTGTGATTTTGATCATGGCAGCAAAGAAATACGTTAAATAAATATTATATAACTGAGAAAAGGAACTGCCTAGATTTATTTTATAAAATTAACAGATCAGATATATTTACAAATACTAACCTAGTTGAAGTGTTACATTAAGGTATAATTTGTATTACATTAAGATATCATTTAGTGAATAGGCTACAGGTAGCTGAATTTATACAACATGCAAAGCCATAAAATATTTGTTTTTTTTAAATCATTTATAAGCTATACAAAATGTGTTTTACAAAATATGGCTTAAAATGCAATAATGAAGCTAATTTCATTAGTGTTAAGCCATAATATGTAAATGGTAGCTTTCTGAATCCAGTCTCTGTGTATGTCAGTATACATCAGAGATGATTTAGTAAAATTCCAAAGTTTTCCTGAAACAATTTCTCTCATCCAATTTTGCTTCCATCTGTACATAAGTTATTGTTACCAGAAAACAGTGACTGCATTGATATTTATATGACTGAAATAGTGAGTCATAAAACCCAGGAAGAGCAAAGAATCTTTTTTATAATATAATTTTATTATTTAATTTATATATTAGAATATAAAATACAAATGAAAAAGAGAGTGCGGGAAAATGGGAAAAAGGAAAGAGATAAGTGTAGCACGAAGGGGGTGGGAAAGCATTAACTTCAGACTCTTTTCAGCCCAGTTGAATGAACATAATAACATTACAGCCTCAATTTTTTACTTTGCATACTCAGTATACACTAGCCATTTCTAAAATAAAAAAAACTCAAGCACAAAATCTCAATAAAGGAAAATATTTATAGTTCAACGTTGAAATGAGGGCTTCTTGGTGCTTTCTTAAGTTGGTTGTTTTGTTGCAGATGTTTCATCACCCAAACTAGTTTTGGATAATGAAACATCTGCAACAAAATAACCAAGCTCAGAGAGCACCAAGGACCCCTTGAAAAATCCTGAAGCACTTTCCAGAGTGGTTCAAATTAGATGTGTTTTTGATTAAAGTAGTTAATTTGGTCACCTCCACTAGTTCCATCAGTTTTTCCAACCATTCTTCCATTGTGGGGATTAGTATATCTCTCTATTTTCATGCATAAACCATTCTTGCTGCTGTAAAAATGTAGAACAACGTTTAGATACAGAAGATTCTTCAAATGAATATGCAAATTAAACCAGAGACTTTTCTTCTAGGTTTAATGGACAAAGAACTTGGAAAAAAAAGTGAGGAGTGAAGAATCAATTAATCTAGCTTTAAGATTGCTTAGAGCGAAAGTTTTAAAACTCATTGCAAAATGAAAAATGAAATTTTAACCAGGTATTTTGGTGAAGGAAAGTAATTTATTGGATGTAAGATGAAAAGCTGTGAAAGTAAACATCAGTCTCATCGTAGACACATGTCACTGATTGATGTTTTCCCTGCACAGCTGCCTAGAGGTAAAGTCTTTGAAATAGCGTAGTAGGTATTTTGTCTACGGGGAAAGAACACTTAGTTTCGTTGTTGCTTTTTTGATACCAAGCTATATGTCTTTATTTTCAATCAAAGGAAAAACAGTAAATCAGAATAATTGCTTTACCCTGTGGCATCTCTGTTTGTAAAAGGAAGAAAAAAATGACATAGAACCTTCAAATTAACTTTCATTTGAACTAGGTAAAAAGTCTAAAAAATTACATGCATCCCAATATAGCATTTTATTAATCATGTCACCACTCTGTGAAAAGCTGGTCTATTCCTTTTATGTGCACTGCAGTATATGTTTTCATTTGGAAATATTTTTTTAACATTAATGACTAGAAAATCATCACTCCCATAAAAATTCATATAAGCTATTAAAACAGCAAGTTTGTAAGGCGAGGTTGTTTTTCTTTAGTTAAGAAGAAACTGACTTAACTATTAGCTATAAAAGGAGATAGGCATATCTGAAAATTATGAAACGCCCGCTCTTAAGGGAACTCTGGGAGTTGAAGTCCACACATCTTGAAATGGTCAAGTTTAAAAACCAGTCCTAGTGTTTACATTAGCTACATAATAATCCTGACTTCTGGGGCTAATATGAGTTTGGACTTTCTGTAGCAATGCTGTTACCCTTGCCCTTGACTGCTCTTTGATACGTATCTTGTGTTGGTATTTTGTTAGGCTGAATCTGTTTTTAATCAGATAGATAGATAGATAGATAGATAGATAGATAGATAGATAGATAGATAGATAGATAGATAGATAGATAGATAGATAGAGTGAGTGCGTGAGCGAGCCGTGGTGGCGCAGTGGTTAGAGTGCAGTACTGTAGGCTACTTCTGCTGCCAGTACTTTGGCAGATCGAACCTCACCGGCTCAAGGTTGACTCAGCCGTCCATCCTTCCAAGGTCGGTAAAATGAGGACCCAGATTGTTGGGAGCAATATGCTGACTCTGTAAACCACTTAGAGAGGGCTGTAAAGCACTATGAATCGGTATATAAGTGTAAGCGCTATTGCTATTGCTATTGCTATTGCTATTGCTATTGCTATTGCTATTGCTATTGCTAGATGAATGGATGGATGGATGGATGGATGGATGGATGGGTAGATAGATGTGTAGATAGATGTGTAGGTCGTCCTATAGCCAGCCATCTCAGAGATGTGACTCTGGACAACACATAACAAAATAAACAGTTAAAAATGAATACATAGAAGACACTCAAAGTCATATATGTTTGTAGGTTTTAGTAAATAAAATAAACTCTGTAAGAAAAAGAATGTATATGACATAAATTATTTAGGCAGTATAAATATTTCTAGGAACTTGAGTGAAGATTTTGACAATGGTATGTAACTGGTTTATGCAGCTGTCTTTCCACAGATGGAAGTCAGCCTTAAGAGAGTTCTGAAGGTCTTTGTGTTATGCTTCAAGGACAAGTATTTTATTATAAACTATATAAAAATAAAGTTTTTTACATAGTTACAGTTAAATGCAGGGACACTGAGACAGTTGTAAGTGCAAGGACCAGTTACTTTTTCAGTGTTGTTATAACTTCAAAAGGTTGCTAAACAGCACAGTCATTGAGGGAAGATAATCTGTATAACAGATAGCATTGTGATGGATCAGAGTTTCTTTGATGATAGTGGTAGAACTGCTGCTATTATAGACTAATAGTATTGCTGCAAATACATGTATTGTTTCTGGAACAATTCTGACTTAGATGGAATCAAGAAGAAAATTTAGTAAAGTTGAAGAGGAAGGATTGCAACAGGAACACAGTCAAAATTCCAGGATGCATAAAAAATAGAGAAATGTTTAGTGAAACTCACCAACTTGTCTTAAACTGTGCTGAGCTTTTATCAGAGCTTGTTTTAGTACTCTCCATTTAACAGTTCTAGAGGAAGGATTTACGAATACTGCAACTATGCAGAAGTTATGCCCTTGTGAATTTGGGAAGGTGGGGCCAATTGAAAACACATTTTTAACAGGTAAATTAATAGTGATCTCCAGTTGAGCCTATTGCAGGCCCTACTAATAAAGATGACCAACCTCCTTCATGATTTTATATTTATCACCTTTTTGTGGACAAAAGCCTGAATATGAGATATACAATTATCAGATACTGCTTTCTAGCTTCAACAGTTTGCCACCTTATGTAAACCTTGGGACGTAGAACTAATGCATATGACAATTGTAGCATTCCTTTTTGGAATTTATTGGGAGTGTTTTATGTATGTATAGCTAGTTTAAGACAATAATAAGCTTTCCTTCCTTATTATATATTAAATCCCTTGATCAAACTGGCATTTTTTTGATGTATCATCTTGTCAACTTTATCATTTTTGGGGTCTTGGTTTTGATTAGTTTTTGTTCTTTTTTGGTGCAGTGTCTATGATCTTGACAGAAATATGCTACGAAGAAAAGAATGGGAAAGGAGAAATCAGGAGACCCAGCATGAAGACAGCATATTTAATACCAGTTATTCTCTTTTTAGTGAACCGTACAAGGTATGTAATGTATACTTTATCTATATCCTACCCATCTGTTAGATTGACTTGTTTATGGAATAGTGAAATAGATTAGGTATAACTTCTATAAGGCAAAGGTGTTTAACATTTGCAGATTTTTGTATATTGTGCCTTCCAAGCAGGGGTGAAATGCTCCCGGTTCGGACCGGATCACGCGATCTGGTAGCGATGGAGGCGGGTGGTTCGGAGAACCAGTAGCAAAAATCCCTGCCCCCCCCCATTGCCCAGCTGAGCCGCGCAATCATCAGAGGCTTTTTTTTTTAAAGCATTTTTTCTACAACCTCTTTGGCCAAAAAAATGCTTTTAAAAGTAAAAAAAAAAGCATTTTTTAAAATGCTTTTAAAAGCATTTTTTCTACCTCTTCAGCCGAAGAGATTATAGAAAAAATGTTTTTAAAAGGAAAAAAAGCCTTTGCCGATCAGGCAAGTCAGTTGGGATTGTCAAAGGCTTTAAAAAAAAAGAAAGTCTCTGCCCTCAGCCAAAAAGGTTGTAGACAAAATAGTTTTAAAAGAAAAAAAAAAAAGTTGGCCATGCCTACTCAGTCATATTACCACCACCACCACCAAGCCACGCCCAAGAACTGGTAGTAACAAATTTTACATTTCACCACTGCTTCCAAGTTACATTGATTCATTTCCTCATCAGTTCCAAATGTTACATAGTTTTCTGCAATCTAAAATCATTTCAACTCCTTTTGCCTAGGTAAAAGTTCCTAAATATTTCTATCCAGATCATCTTCCTTTCCCCCTGCATCAGTCCTTAAATGGATTAAGATTGACAGTACATCACTGATCTCATGGTTAATTTTTAAAAAATTACTAATTAATTTGTTTTACGTTGCCATCCATCCCACAAAGCTACTTGTGAGAATGACTGCTTTCTTAACTTGTATTGTTTTGAACAATACAAGTCCAAATTAAATAATTTGATCCAGCAAAGCCAACTGCAGTAATTTATGCTCTTACTTTAATTGAACTGTAGAAATAGGTTATTATTGATAAGTATAGTTTCACATAATAAACTGACTTCATAAAGCATGCATTTAAGTTGATGATCAGTTAAGTTTAGGTGCTTGTTATTTGGAATAGAAGAACATTAGGGCAGCATTAGATTCAGCCACATAAGTATGGTCAACTTATGACCATACTTGGGACCAGAATTTAAACAAATTAAATTGTTGATTGTTAAACAAGTAAATCTTCATCAATTGACATTGCTTGTCAGAAACTAACTGGAAAGGTCATAAACCACAATACCACACTGCAACCATTGTAAATGTGAGCTGTTTACTAAGCATTCAAATTGTAATCATGTGCTCATGCAGGTGTTGCTACAATTGAAATTTTGAGGACAGATTGTAAATCACTTTTTCTGAGACCATCGTATCTTCAAACCATCATTAAATGAATGGTCATAATTTGAGAACTACCTGTAGATTGAAAAAAAATAAGATGCTTTAAAATGAGATTACGCTTGTATAGTGCCTAGTCAATATCTTTCCTCCCCTTTTAAAGCAAACTCTTCAGATAAATTGATAAACTATGCAGTTTCAAACTGGTAATACAGACTTAAATGTTAACCTGTTTTTCAGGAATCCAACATCATTCTTGTTTTTTGCAGGATTATGTTATCATCCACCAGAAATTTCCATTCAGAATAGGCTGTTGTTTTTTCATGTACTTTTGCATGGAATAATGAAATGTTTTCCTTAACCAAATAAGACAAGCGTACCTTGGTCCCTGCACCTCTTTGAATCTGTATTTTCCCATGCATTGGCCTAATCCCACATTGCTATTTTATGCTATGAACACAGTTCCAGTTACGACACATTTAGTGACTGTATGAAGTTATATGATAACCTCCCCAAGTATTTACCACACAGTCCCGAAATTATGAATGTTGCAGTACCATGGTACCCTTATGAATGACTACAGAGGCACTGCAACATTTACTCTGCCTATCCCCTCCATATGCACTTAACGACCTGCACATTCAATTAGCGAATGCATGGGTGAAAGGGAGTTTTTGTGTTCATTTTACGTGATTCATTCCAACAAATCCTCAGGTTAGAAATGTAATTGGCAGGGTCTGTTACATTTGTAACTCGAGGACTATCTGTATTTAAAGTATATATTTATTTATTAATTTCTTGAATAATGAAGAATTACAAAGAAACATATTTACCTGAGCTAGGATTCCTTTGAACTGGAAAGTTACATTATGTTTTCACAACATATGTAATTAACCTGTATTGTGGGTTGTACAATATCTTAAAACATAAATTAATCAAAGCAGCTGTATTTTCAGAACATCTAAAAAGTAAAAATCACATAGCATATTAGAGACATACAGATTTTATGTCTTTAACTAATCTGAATATGATATAATATGACTGCTGTTTTATTGTTCTATAAAGTTTGAATTTATTTACAAATACATAAATACTATGAGTTTGTAAGGCAATAGATCTATGTGAGTTACTTAACCTCCGCTATACAGTATGTTCCCTGTCTAATGCTTACCAACATTCGAATAAATAGAATTATTAGATAGTCTCAAACAATAACATGTATTTTTTAAATCATCAATCCTACACTACAAAATTACTGCACATTCATGATTTTCAGTGATTTTATTTCTTGACCTTTTATTTATTTTGATTATTTCCTTTACAGACGAATAAGGGGGATGAACTGTCTAGTCGTATCCAGAATACACTGGGTAACTACGATGAAATGAAAGAATTGTTGACCGATCACTCCAATCAAAGCCAGCTTGTGGGTGTTCCAAAAGCCTGTATGTCACAGGCACCTATGAACAAAATGGAGGAACACTTTTCTGCTGATACTCAGACTTCTGTTTGCAGTCCTCAGTCTTCTTTGCCAGTAACGCTTTCTGGACAGTTAAGCAAGAACGCAACAATAGGTTGGCAGAAATCTGGGTATTGCTTAGAGAATCAGCAGAGGGGGGGCAAACATAGGCATGGATTGTCAGATTCACAGAGTAATGATTTCAAAATAGCTAACCAAAAGAGCAGCTTGGAAAAGATTATGCATTACGTACACAGTCCTTCTCCATCATCTTCATCCAGTGCTATTCAAGGTCCTATAGCATCCTTACTTGTAGAGAACATTCAAACACAACAGCAGTCAAAATTGAGCTGTGCCACAGAGACTGGAGTCCAGGCTCAAGAAAGACCAGCTATGCATAGCAATGGACACTGTGTACAAAATTTTCATCCTGCACTTGCTTCAAAACCAAATATAATTCAGCAGAAACCAACAGCTTATGTGAGGCCAATGGATGGTCAAGATCAGGCTCCTGATAAATCTCCAAGACTAAAGGTGCCAGATGAAACCAGCATGCTCTGCACCTCATACAGAGAGATGTCTTCTGTTAAAAATGAATCAGCTAGGACCAAGTCAAAAATGACCCAGTGTGGTATTTCCAAGCAAGAAGAGGTAAGTTTAATTATGACACACCTTTCATAACAAACCAATAAAGAATCAGTTTTTAATTGTAGCTTTTTAATTTTAGGAAGAATGTTTTGAATTGCATTTCCAGTGTTTTATGATTCAAATTCTAAGTGGCAAACATACACTATAATCAATATTTTGATATAATAGAGTTCAATTTATTGCTTAGTAATGAGATGACTTCATTCAATATGTGCGTCCTTAATGGTTTATGTATTTTATAAACTCTGCAATTGTTCAACTATTCATATTTCTGTGAAAAGATGACTCTGATTTGACAACTCTTTTCAAGAGTTTCTGGTAAATGACTCTTAGTGAATTGATTTTTTAAAAAGTGGAACTACTGTATACAGAGGTAGCAAGGATTTACATTAGAAATGGGTAATATCTTCATATGTGAGGACGGCACTTGGCCTTGGAATAGATTTCTGGGAGTTCACTCCTGAAAGAAGCAATAGGAAAGAGAAAAATATGAACGGAACTAGGAAAAATTAGATTAAAGATCCATTTCTCCAAATGAATACTTTTAAATTGAATGAAATCACACAGCCAAAATGCATCATCAAATGTTATGACAATACTCAAGGATTTTCAAGGAGGCACAAAGTCAGGTTACTCTGCCAGGCAACTATGATGAAAATAGCAAGTTAAAAATTATTTGCTGGTCTTTTTCAGAAGCCAGATATCTAGATAGGTTTGTCATAAGGAACTTTACACAGTAAGGATAGTATTAAGCTAAGACTTTTCCACTCATGGTCTATATATATCCTTTCAGATGTGTGTATATGTAGGCATATACGGTTTGCAAACAGTATTCTCCAAACTACAATCTATTATTTTTTATTTCTGTAGTTAAAGTTGTGTTGTTGTCAGGGAAAATACAATTTAGTATGGTAAACACAATCTGTGATTACTCAACACCTTTATTGATTCTAAGTTCATGTGCTAAGGCATTAGCTGTAGTTTCCGATTTCCTAGGTTTAAGCATGTTGAGTCGACATAATATTGTTTTAAATCTGATCTTAAATAGTAGGCTTGTTAAAATATAGTTATTTCTGCAATGTTTTTTCTCTGGTGGGACTGGTCTATCAGGGCAACCTCGTCTACCCAATTATGGGATGGAGTATACTGCTTCCGTTTTCATCTTTCAGCCCCAATTCAGGCGCCTTCGCAGGCAGTCGCTTTATTTCTTTGTCAGTAAAACATAAATTTATTTCTGCAGTGTTTAAGTTCTTATATCTTTTATCTCAGGAACCTGATATGTCTTCAGTTCATGAAGTTTATTTCAGTACAATGAATCACAGGAAATAGCATTTGAATAGAAATCACAGGATATTACTTTTAAATTTGCAGGAAAGGTTGATTTCCTCTACAGATCTATTCTGAATTTAATATTGTTAATCAGCTTTAGAAGGTTCTTGGTAGCTTGACATAAAATTAATCATAACAATTTCTAAAGTTTAATGTAGTGAAATAGCTTTATACATTAAATATAACAAGTATATTTCATTAAATTAATTTTTGAAATGTTCATTCAGGATGTGATTTTTTGAGTCATTTTCATCAGTATTAATCAAAATGCATACTCAAATATCCTCCACCTTTCAAAAATTATCCTACTTCTCAGTATAAATTATAGTCTCTCAACTCAAGTGTTGCTATTTCTCATGTAGAATTTTACTGTAAGCAGCTTACAAAATATATTATTAGAATGATGTACTGAATAGAAAAAAAATAGGTCACAGAGAAAATCTGTTAGTATCTAGTATTGTTCTTTAAAATTATTTGCTATCAACACATTTATTCTCTTTTATCTCCGACCTTATTTATACAATGTTATAAATGCAATAACAAGCCAAGATTCAAGGGTTGGAGTAAAAAAATAAATCAGAATTAGACAAAAAATATGATTGTCACAGGATATGTCAAAAGATGACTTGGATAATGGAAGGTACTCAGATAGCCTAAAGCAGTTGCATCTTTTCCCAGGATTGTATGAGTGTTCTTTGCAGTTGCAGTGCAGTCCAAAAAAACCCAACTTGGCCAGGACAACCATGGCTGAGGTGGGCATGGCCAGCTCAACATCACTCATGTCTGGGGCACCTGTGGTGGCCCAGGCAGAGCTGGGGCGGATCAGTTGTGAGGAAGGTGAGACCAGGGGGAGTGCCAAACCCTTGTCCTCTAGTCTAGAGGAGCCTCACCATCACTCTCAGGCCACAGGCTTGCCCCCCCCACCCCCGAGTTCCATTTTCACTGGCAGAGGCACCGCGGGCCAGTCCTTTGCTGTTTCCAGGGCGGCCAAATCGAAGCACCCCATGGGCTGGATCCAGCCCACAGTCCTTGAGTTTGACCCCCTGCCATAAAGGAACATAAATGGATGCAGGACTTTAAAAATATTGTTCCTTTGGATTGAAGATTGAAATTAATTCATCAAAAGATTTTATTCCAAGTTTATTGAATGATTCAGAGAATGCATCAAAAAAGATGGAATGTAGATTTTCTTTGTACATGATATAAGGAATTCAAGGCTACATTAACATACATTAACTCCTCTGATTTGGTTCAATATTTTTATTGTTTATTTTCTGGAATAAGTAGATTTATGGGTAAATGTTTTCAAGGTAGAGATATGAATTCTGTTTTAAATTGTATTTTAGAATCATGGAATCTGACCATTTTTAAGGAATTTTGGTTACATCAGTTATCAGGCATAGCCAAGATAATTATGCTGAGAGAATGAAAAAATATTATTACTCTAAACTCCAAGAACTGGAGTAAAAAAAATATGTAATTTTCCTTTTTCTGAAAAATGCACTTCACTTCTGCCAATCCAAAAATGGTACAAAATGTTTCCCTTTGCTGAAGATTTCATAATAATTTACAAGAAAAGACAAATCCTTAGGTGTAATTTGGTGTACAGTTATTAAATATATGTAATATATTTAGGTGATTTATATCTATTTAATATGTTAATATTTAACTTTGATTTTGTTTTACTTGTCCTCATTTTTGTCTGACACATCAGTTAAGGCAGCAGTGTCAAATTCAAGGACCGTGGGCCAGATCCAGTCAGCGGGGTGCTTAGATTTGGCCTGCGGGGCCACCCTGGAAACAGTGAAGGACTGGCCCATGGTGTCTCTGCCAGCGAAAACGGAGCTCAGGAGGATTCGAGCTCTGTTTTTGGTGGCAGAAGGTTGCAGGAAAATAGAGCTTGGGAGCCTGTTTTCTCTGGTAGAGCGCTTGGGCCACCACAGATGCCCCCAACATGAGTGATGTTGAGCTGGCCATGCCCATCCCAGTATCATCCACTCTGGCCTCCCGAGGTCAAACACAATCCTAATGTGGCCCTCAATGAAATTGAGTTTGACACCCCTGAGTTAAGGGAATAGTAATTTTTCTATAGAATTTTATATTTCTTGATTTGTTCATTGCTGATATCTAATAAACTTAAAAGTGTCAAAAGGTATCTTTTGACCAATGTGGGATTTATGTAAGTTTAGGATGTTCTATTGCTAAAATTATATATTGATTTTGATTTGTTTGTGTATATATTTTCTCATTTAAAATTGTTGCCTGAAAGTGCAATAACAATACTTCAGTGCAATAACAAGACTTGAATAGGAATGTTTGCCACTGTAGTATATGAAATCAGACTCTTTTTTTTAAGGAGATACGTTTAGCAAAAAATAAAATAAAAATAGAGACATGATATATATTCCTAACATTGTAATGAACCTTTAAACTTTTACTCATATATCAAGATTATTATTACTTATTTCTATGCTACCTCTATGGCCTACAAAATACCCCACAATATCGCTACAGCATCAATATCATGAGTCCATATTGCAAATGATTTTCTAGAAGAACTCCAGGGACAAATACATCTAACTATAATTATATGCATAGACAGTACAATTCTTTGCCAGCCAGTGCTTATTAAAATCTTGACATTAACCATTTGCAGGTAATTATGCTTTACCACATTGCTTGTCTACAGGATGGCACTAATGAAACAGTAACTTAATTACTGCTATTGGTATGGTGGCTCACAGGGTTAGAAAAATAACTATAGCTTCAGTTAGAGGTAAGCAGATTTTTCCATACAAATAGAGGGGTTTTCTAATCACTAGTGATTGTACCATCTACACAGACATAGCTGCCTAAAGTATATATGTCATACAATTATTTTTAACTATTTCTGCTTCAAATGTATCTAAGACCAGGTAACTGAATATCAAGATAATATGTACGAAACGTCTGAAGAAGGCTTGTTTATAAAAATATTTATTAAATTGGTATGCTGGCAAATGTAACCAAACTCTCCATGGCTAACACAAAACACATGGAGCAATGTCAAAATATGGCAGAAAACACATACTGTGATTGCTGATGTATACCATTCCACACAACATTCTAGAAAAGCTCCGTTTCATGAACTTCTGGAAAATGTTCACAGAAGGAGGTAGTCTCAAAAGGGCAATTGTTCCAAAGAATTGAATTGAAAAACAGCATTCCCTGGCTTTAGTTCCTTTACCGCATAGCAACAGAAGACTATTAGCAGTTTCTGACAGGAGGAATACCTCATATAGATCAACTTTGATTGGAGAAGATTCCTAGGTCCCAGCTATAAAGATTAAAATCAGCAGCTTGAATTGTATATTAGAATGATACAGCTTGGAGCTTTGTGGCACCTTGGCAGCTGTACCCTACCTATAGCAGAGCAGAGTCTTGACTTCTTGTTCCTACTGCGGTTGGATCTAAATAATATGAGATTTTTCTTGAAATCCATATCATGTATGATTTATCTGGCAAGTCAGTGGCAAAAATGTATGTGGGGGAGCCATAGTAGTAGATATGATATAACTATATCCCATGTAGTTATATGGGATGGTAGAAATAATGGAATATCTGTTTTGGTATTGAAGTTGTGTGTAACAAAAACCAAACTGCCTTAGTCAATCAGAAATTCAGACTGGGATTTT